AATCACGTGGTCTCGTTCTAGAGAGTAAAATTTTTTTTAGTAGACCTGTGTTATTGTATCTTGCTCTATTACTCTATGTTTCCAAATTTATTTACTGTGAAATCCACATTTAACTCAAGTTCTTAAATCACATAAAGGTAAACACCTACGTAACTCAAACCAAAGTCATTGAAATGTTACTACTTACAACAAAACCCTCTCCAACTACATGACTTTTTTATTGATTATTAATGACAAAACGGATCTTATCTAAATAACAACTTCTAGATTGAACCTAATGCAGGTTGCGGTAAAATATGGCGTTTAAGGAGGCTCCCTCGTGCAGAGATGCCAACTTACGTCATAGGCCACGAATTTTCTCGCAAACTCAGGTAAAGTTGGCATCAGTGGTGCAAGGGAACGTGAGTTAACATGTGAAAATAAAATGCCTCAATCCATTTTCAAAAGAATATCTTGAAATTTGCCAGGGTAACACTTTCTTTGACATGTGTCATTTGAAAGAAAAGATTTTTTTCTACAAAACGTGTGCACTCTTACAACGGGAACCATTGGTTTATTCGAGCTATTAGGTTACTTTCATTGCGCGTGCGAGAGCCACCGTAAGAATACATGTTAGAAAGTGCTACATAAAATAAATAATATCTTGAAATTTTGCAAAATAAGCGATATCAATAATTGTACCATTCGATTCAGTAGATTTTTAACTGTTAAATAAATCTGGTCTAGGTTCAGGAACCATCACCAAGGAGCCTCCTTAACATAAAAATAACGTCATGTATCGCTCCCGCTCAGGCGTATTACTAAATTTTCTTCTATATTTCTTTCATATTGTAACTACAGAATAAGCTCAATTTAACTACGATGTTGAGTTTTGGAAATTTGATCATTTTCTTGCTTCAAAATGGTGCGTTCAATCAAGACCTTATTCTCACACAAATTGTATTATGAAATTCAACAGAGACTTTTTCTCAATTTAAATACTTGAGGTATTGTCTGCCACTTGTAACTTTCTTTCGAACTCTTAAATGAAGAGACTCTAAAAATTAATTCTTTTTTCTGTATGCTGACTAAAAGAGACATTTTTAATAAAGAAATATAAAATACTTTAAGCTAATAACAGAAAATCAAGTAGTTTCCAAGTCTAGCGTAATCTAGCTATAAAATAGTTATTATGTCTATTGAGTGTATAAAAAAATGAAATAAAGATCAATAAAGACTGTAATTTAAAATTACAAAAAAAAAACAACACATAAATCGGCGATCGCAGCTAGAAAACATATTTTCTAATTCTTAAACTTAACATTTGAGGCTGAATAAATTTAAAACTTTTTCCAAAAATTTTTAACAAGTTGTGCTGAAAGCAACTTACAGAATTTAATCCGCAAGAAAGAGAATTTTGTTTACGGGTAAGAAAATTTGAAAAATTAGTGTTGAGATAAAAATTTTAATTTAAAATTCGGAAAATGACACTAGCCACGTAATTCTAAAAAGTTTTGCTTTAAAGCTACTTTTATTTATAATACTCTACCGAAACTTTTAGGTTTTTGACAAAAATAAAAAATTTTCATGAAATAAAACCAGGTGTGGATCTCGGAACTCCCGGCAGAAGTGAAACTTCCAACTAGTGAGTTATTGAACTCGGTATTTTGGAAATCGGATAGTGTTAGGTACACTTTTTATAGATTTTATAATTCAAACAGTATGGATTTTAAAAAAGCCTGACAAGTAGATCCTTTTCATTTAATTAATTAATTTTTCATATAGTCAGGCTATAATTATTACAGTCGTTTGAGGCTGACGGCGCGAAATTTAAATTTGAAATGTAAACACGCTGTGGGCCATCAATTTACTTTATTGTTATATGATTTTTATTTGGGTTTTAATGTTATTAAATAATATAAATTTAAATTTTGATGTTCATGAATGAAGCCAAAGCGTTCGTATCTTGACACCCTTTTAGTATCAATTGCCATTACAAGAAAAAAAAAAAATATTTTGAATGCGTCATTGTGCGTCTTCGAGTCCCCGCTAATTAGAAATACACTTAACATATTTCTTAAATGATGATATTTTTATATAACTTTTTATCATAGAGGCCTATTTATTTATACTTATCGCATACAATTGAATTTTCAATGACAAAAGCTATGATCTTTTTAAATATTTCCGAACTCACGTATTTGTACCTTTGTTTACATATTTTCAAATAAAAATAAAATTAAAAAATTCTTGAACTCCAAAGCCATTGCATTTGTTGCACGACTTTCTTTTTCGACTTTTTATTTGCAAATATCTCGCAAACTATTAATACGCAAATGAAAATTCAAGTGGAGAATAAGTCCGCAAGTGAGGAGGAATCGTTAAAGCCCCGAATGATTACAAAATAGTAATATTTATTATTCACCAGCTTCACAAGTCTCCTATACAGAGAGAGTTTCTACATGTATGCACACATATATACACATACTCCGCCTTTCTGCTATATAATAAATTGGTTTCTAAATAAGTATTGTGCGCCAGCTCTCTCTCTCTCTCTTTTATTTTTAGTATTACTATTTTTATAATTACTTTTATTATTGTATCCTGCAAAACTTTGTAGGTTGTGGTTTGCGCCCAAGACCAACCGTTATCTTATTTCCATGTATTGGCCAAGGCAAAACAAGGCCTGGAGCCCTTTATGTTATTAATAAATTCAAATTCAAACTCAAATTAAAAATTCTCTCTTTCTTTCTCTCTCCCCGCCACACATTTACTCTGATGTACATGGGCGCTTCTCTCGTGTCTTTGCCTCGCTCCCCATTCTCCCCTCGCCGCCAAGAACCGGATGGATATTTTTACGTTGCAACAGTCGGTTTCACTCACTACTAGATTTCTAATACGCGGCTATAGAAGTTTCACTTCGAAAAAACTTTTCGGTTGATGTGCAATGCTCCGCATATAAATGACCTTATATTTGTGCATATACTTTCATCTTTATGAATGATAATATGTCAATGATATAAGCTACTTAAAAATTAAATTTAAAATCAATTGATAAACTTGCCAGTAAGATAAGATGACATACACGCGCGCGTGTGTGTCATCTATATGTATACATAAAGTATCTACACCTCTGAGGGACTCGGATTCTTGTAGGTTATACTTAAGTACCTCTGTGAATTTTCACACGTACTTTTTCACCACGCAATGCTCCTCGTAAAGGCATGGGCGATCTTCTCGCAGTAAAACGGTCTACCACTTAGATCCTTCGCTGCCAAGGTGGTCTAAGTAACTTCATCACCGTACCAACGAATAGAAATTACTCTATCTAATAATGTAAACTCTCTAACCAATAATGTAACATGTAACCAATATTGTAATATAACAAATATTAATGTAAAATGTACCTTACTGTACGAAGGTTATATGTACTCGTTCACAATAAGGCCTAAAAATAAATACACTATGTAAGTAGGTTTTTATTTAGAAAAGAAAAAAAAGAAAAAAAAGAACAAATTGGGCCTAAATACACATGGATATAGATAGAGTGAAAATTCGTGTAACGCAAGAAATTTGATGATTTTCGAGCTTTCTGGAGCAGTATGCGGCATCGAGGAATAAACGTGCATGAATGCTAAAAAGGTTTATAAGGGCAGACGTACAAAACTAAACTTTCTCATCTAGGTTCTGAAATTGAGCAAACGAATGTTTATCAACTAACGCGAGACCAAGCTTAAAATTGCCAAGAACAAAGAACCTTAAGGAGCGAAAAACAACAGGTTAAGATTCATATATTAGTAGTACAATGAATTTTCAACAAAAAAATATTATGCTTAAAGGCGCCGGGAGACCTGGACTGCACAATTTTTTCCACTAAGTCCAGATCACTGATGCAGATGTAATGAATACTGTAGTACTATCAGACCATTCTGTATGACACATCAGGTTGAATGCGGCAACCGAAAATTCCAAAGTTGCAAATAAGTCGCGAAGTATTCTGCACAGTATAGTATTGATCGTCGAATACATGTTCAGATCTACTTAGAGTGTCGAGAGGGTAACATCCACATCTCACAAAAAATCACACTTGGGGCGAGTTATGTACAATAGCGCAAAGAAACTTGAGGTACAAAACAGACAGCTCAAGTAGCGTTAACTCCGGTCAGAGGGAGTAGATATTGCCATCAATCGACTATGCAACATCACGAAATTATATATAATTATGAATATAAGCAGCAACACCACCGCTGCTTCTGCTCAACTTACCATGATGAATAAGGGTACATAAGGGGTGTAACCTGAAATTTGCCCAAATGCTTGAGAGAGAGAGAGAGAGAAAAAAAAGAGAGGGATTTCAAATATATATAGAATGAATTAGTTTAATTATAGTCGTTCTCCATGATAACACCGAATAAGGAAATTAATCATCGACCACTTGAGGACAATAAGTAGACACAACTATCTTTTACTAAGGCAACGTTTTTATATATAAATGGTGAAAGTGACTTATGCAGACTTTACGTTCTTTTAAGATGTGTGTTAATAACATGGTAGAACTATGTGGACGTCTGCATAACTTCTAATGTGTTCATACAATAACCCTCCGATACATGTAATTGTCCGCATAAGTCATCTTTTATGAACATATATGTATGTATTAAAAAACCTTAATTTCTTACCGATACAAACATTCCGTTAAAAAAAAGGAAAAATATAGAACTATTACGGTAAAATTACTTGCTGCTTCCATCAGAGTCAATTACCGAAGATATCAGGAAACAATACAAAAAAAATTGAGACGACGATTTTTTTTAAACTGTAAATGTACAAACCAAGCACTGGTGTAGAGCTGCAGCATAGTTAACATCGTATGATGTATATTAGTTAACAATAAAATTTCTGCTGGATTACAAATGCACCATAGTATTATTTTTTCTCTCATGGCTTAACTAGTGGAGCGGGCTATCAAAGCCATTACCGAATAATACTAAGTGAAAACAAATTAATATTAGAGTAAATACCTGTTTGTCGTGATCGTCGCTGGCAATGTCACTACTAGGGAGCGCATCGCTTTCCGTATCATACTCATTACGCAGCCGTTTGATGTTTTTGATCGTTAGTGCATTACATGGACTTAAAGAATCACGCATCCAACGACTATTGTTATTATCATTATTATTGTTGTTGTTGCTGTTATTATTACTGTGATTAAGATGATAGTGGGGATGGTTGTGATGGTGAAGACAGGCGTGAGCTTCGAGCTTCACACGTACGTGCGATGCCGAGCACTCGAGCTTTCGTATGTTTTCTTCACTTAGTACAGATACTTTATGACTTTGATTGCACCTTTGAATAAAAGATAGCTGCATTAATTACTATCTAGGCATTAATTTTTTTAGTGAATGTTGTAAGAATTGAGCGTATGATTCTATTAAACAGTCAAATGAAATTGAAAAATACATTCTTACCTCTCCAATGATTCTTCTAATGTAGCATTTTCGTCAAACATTCTTGAATCTTGTATCCTTTCGTACTTCACTGGACAGAGTTTATCACAAGGCTTACTACCATCACATTCAACAGTTGAGCTCGTACAGCTGTCTGTTTCAATAAAACGTACTGTTGCTTCTTCGAAAGTTAAGTATTCACCATTATCTGTTACTTTATCAACATCAATATTTTTACTCTCAAGTTTTTCTTTTCTGAAAAATTTTTTCTGTACAGGTTCTTTACTGTCTCCTTTACATTTGCTTTTTGTCGATTCACTATTGTCTTTATCGGCTTCAATTACTTTACAATCTTTCATTTCTAGCTTTGTCTTTTGAAAATTAAAATTACTAGCACTAGCCAAAGCTTGTTTAGTAAGCTCGTTGCTTATTACATTTTGCAGCTTTTCTTTGGACATGACAGTGGTAATAGTGGCCGGCTTCTTTTTCTTTTTTTTAACGGTCGGAAAACCTGTCCGATTGATCGTTTTTTTGCGACGAATCTTTTTTTTTAACATCATGGCTATAGAACTTGTAGTAGTGGTAGCAGTGGTACTCACAACAGACTCATCTGAAAGTTTATTTGTTGTGGTTCTATGGAGCACGATTTCACTATTTTTTATGTTTGTTTCATTGTCCGATTCATTTGTTAAAAGTTCGGTATCTTTTTTATGGTTTTTTATTATTTCGATGATTTTATTCGATTCTTGGGAAATCTCAGCACTACTTTTTTCGGAAGTTCTATTTGATTCATTATCCTTTTTAGCTTCTTTGTTAATAATTTCACTGCCTTTTTTTGATACTTTATTCATTTCTGCATCCTTTTTTGTAATTTTGTTATTCATAGTTACTGAATTTTTTTTAGCTGACTTAGCTGTATCAACATCCTCTTTGATGGTTTTAAAAATTTCAATATATTTTTTACCAGATTTATTACAATGAATATCCTTATCCTCTTTTTGTTGTTTGTTTCTGGCTATGCGGTCAGGGCGTAAGTTATGCTCAGATGATCGAGTCACAACTTTGACTATTTTTTCTGTTTGACAACTTAGAGTATTCTCTAAATTTAGTTTTTCAATTATTCGGGCCTTTTCAGCACTAGATTTTAATGTTTTATCACCAGCGCACATTTTTTCAAGTTTTTCAATTTTATCGATGATATGGTTATTGTCAACGGGTAGCTTTGTTACTGTCACGCGCAAATCTTTGACAATTTTTTTTTTTCGCTTTGGCTGCGAATCGCTTAAATTTTGCAACTTTTTTGCAATTAATTCGGTAATTTCTATGTAAGAAAAAAAAAAAAAAAAATTACATTATCATAAGTAAAAAAAGTAACCAGCTATTACTTACCAGTTTTTTTAGAAGGGAGACTGTTGATGTATTCCTTCAACCTTTTTTTCTCAACGATAACAACAGGAATTATTGATTGCTTGTTTTTTTTTATCTGTCCAGAAATCCCCACATCCTTTACATCTTTTTTTTTAAAGGTTATCGACTCGGCATCAGATTTTTCCGAACAAGGTTTTTCCACATGGACGTTTTTATGATTTTCTATATGTCTTCGATCTTCTTTCTCTATCTCATTATCACCACGATCATCATCACCATTGTCATCATCAGTATCGCTATCATGATTGTCGTCATCATCATTATTTTCGTCGTCTTCATCTTCATCGTCATCGTCGTCTATATCAACGATCTCTTCACCCAAGAGTCGTGGCTGCTGCGAAATACTATGCAAGTTGCTGAATACGTGATAGTGACGTTTTTTTAGCGGTAAGCGTTGTTCATTTGAATTTCCGGACTCGTTGCCTGCAACGCTAATAATGCTACTGCTATTGCTGGTGACGCTGCTGCTACTACTGCTGCTACAGCTCGTGTTTTCTTTTTTGGCACGACGTTTTAGTGTCTTTTCTGTAATGCAATAAGTTACTGATTTAGATATATTTAAAATAATTTTATAATCTGGTATTAATAGATTTAACCCAAACATTTCCTCCTGAAAATGAACGATCATTTAACAAAAAGTTTCAACATCTGATACATAATAGTATAGTCAGTTAAATTTTAATCTATCCGTCCAGTTTCTATATAAATATCAGTAATATCACGTTACTTACAACATATCATAGGTTATGACCGCTAATGATAGTGTATTGCTAAACTGCATGTACAGATTCAGATTTCACTTACGATACGTTATGCTCCAAGGGAAAAAGTATAGTATTCCCTCCCAGGTTTCCTAGGTTTTAGTTGCCATTTAAGCCGTAAACAGGGTTGACAGATATCTAAAAGATAATACTGTGCTTTCTTTCCAAGTAGCAAATAAGATTTTTTACTTTCCACCAATAAAAATGACTAATCATTTTAGGAGTCAGTGAGAAGCACAACCTTCTATGTAAAATTTGTATTTATTACTTAGGAAAATGTCGTAATGCCTTGAGCGTGGAAGTTAATTCTGCGACCGAAAGTAAAGGCAACAACCTCGTAGCAGACAGATATTTTTATTTTATTTGTAACAAAAGCATTTCTATTCGGAAACGACTGTGGCACTTATACCCCTAAAAAAAGTAAAGATATACATCTGTCATTTTGACAGAGATTTGGAAAAAATACTTGCACTTTTGAAATTTTTATCAGTTCATAGTCTTAATTCAACACGATTAGAGAATAAAAAACGGAAGCATGTAGGTAAAAATAGCTGTATTATTATCCCTGTTATGTGCTTAAGGTACCCACCATAACAGGTCCTGTAGCTGCCGTATTAAAACGGTGAAATATTTACTAAAATATTTACTAAAAGAATTTACGTACCAAAATTGCTTTTATTAATAATTTATATAATGTTGAAATACCTTTAATCTATCTTATTGGTAAATCAACTAAATCAAATTTTCTTTCGTTTACATATTTTTTATTTGCAAATAATTTTTTGATTCTAACTGTACGTCAACGTTTTTGGATTCTTACATCGAAAAAGAAGCAGCATGAAATTATCTGTGTAAATTAAGGGGATTTTTTAAAGAAAAGAAAAGCAAATAATTTAGATGTTAAATTTCATTATTTACACCGCTCCACCTTTGAAATTCGATTTATAAGGTACATTACTTCACGAATAGTTATAATCGGAAGAAAAGATTAATATAGATAGCAATTTAATCACTAATTTTTTTTATTGTTTCATCTTTAAAATTCACATATTTACTATGTGTTGTAAAAATTTCTCTGTTTAGACTCTCGCCTGCCGAGTTATTGCGACGTCGTGAAGCCGAGACCCAGTGCCACACACACACGCGCGCGCACACCCACACCCACACACACACGAACCAGCCCTCACACGGTCACCCAGGTTCTCCGGTGCCCTCGACGCGGGTAACATTGCCGAAGGCATCTAGAAGCACTCCACCGGAGTTTATATCCTGGTATGTGAAAATATCTATTGTTGGTGCTATGTGTAGTAGTGCGTGAAAGTGGTCGTCCCAATAACTCTACCTTATTAATTATAGAGTCAGTCCGAATCCCCTATCGTAATTACAACATAAAATTAAAACGGGAAGTGTCGCGTATCAATACAGCACGTCACGTCACACGAACCATCGCCTTTGTGGTGTGCTGCGTTGAGATTGTAATTAAAGGGACTGTTGTTCATGAAGATACATCAACTTCTACAATTCATATATTGTCTTGTGTTTCCATTCGTTGTGTGTAGCGCTGAGTGCAGCTGCAACAGGATAGTGCGTCTGTGTGTGTAGTATTAGGGGCTACTTCCTGATACATAAAAAAGGGCTATTCAGATCTGCTAGCTATACGATACTACCTGTTGCTGCATTCAACGCTGCACCTTACATATAATAACCCGATCCCCTCCCGAATAAAAACACGGTAAAAGTCTCTTAGTGAACAAAAGTAATAATAATACATGTTGATCGCAATCCCCGGCTAACGTGTTACAAATGTCGCTCGACACCGTTCTCTCCGCGTAAAGGGATTTAGTGGAGAGGAGCGGGACGACTACTTTCTTGGTACTCTGGCGGCCATTGTTGAAACAAAACGCTGCTACTGTAGCGCACATGTTTTCAAATATTATACATACACACAATATACGCAGATTACAAATATGCACAGTACACATTTTAATCTATTCCAGCTTGCACATTACCATTAATATTAACTTTTTTTAACGATTCTATTCATGCTATAAAAATTTTAATCATTTGTATGTATGAGTATATTTACACGTTGGCTACTATCACTACCGACAGCATCTACCGCTATGCCTATTAGAAAATAAAACTTTTTTCTATCTCTTCTCTCTTTCTCACGTAATCAAAAAAAAAAAATTGCGTTGTCCCTTTCTCTCCTTTTTCTCTATTCAACACACATACTCTTTCATAGGTTTGTCTTACTTTTTTTCTTTTTCTTTCTTTCTTTCTCACCATCAAATTTTTCTCCTAATAGTAGAACTATCTTTTGTTTTCTTTCTCTTTTCTCAACTATTACTAAATTTCGTTTTCTCTCTCTCTCTCTCTCTCTCTCTCTTTCTCTCTCTACTCGTTTTCTTTCTTTTTCTCTCTGTTTACATTCTTTTTGTCGATTCTGCCCCTAGATTGTACTGGGTATATCACAATGGGATTCAATAATAGTGATTTGGACTTTAGTTTCAATACAAGTTTTGAGTTAGGAGATGAGTTGTCATCATTGGACCCAATAAAAGGTGGGCAAGTAATCAAACGGACAGTGGAGGCACTATCGAAAGAACACGTGAGGGAATATTTAAAAAACTTTAACCTAGTGTACCTGGAACCGTGTACAGAAGTTAGAGATAGGCTCGTGAGATATTACATTCAGCGTTATTATAACAATCCAATGAATAGATGGTCCCATCTAGAAGATCAATTGTACCCAACAGGTAGGTTAGAACTGCTTTGGCCACCCCTATCACAAAAACTCGGCAGAAATAGAAGGAATGCTATGTTCCAGCTAAATACGACTAGTGAACGGGAAGAGATAGAGAATTTGAATAGGGACTAAAACAACTTAGAAGATGTAGTCAGAGACGTGAATCTGGAAGAGATGGAACGGGGGAGTCAAATGAGAAAAGAGGTGGGTCCATAAGCCCAATCGACGATCCACCAGCTAAGAAGGACAACAGTCGTTTCACCCACATACGCTCCAACAAGATTTACAAGACGTCTCTAGAGTAGAGAACAGACAAAATCCAAGTCTTCTCACAATCTTAAATTTGTTGAATTTAATATTACATAATCGTAATTAGCAACCTCAAAAACCTACGAGTGATTATTTTAAATGAGATTCGGGAACTTGATTTATTTTGATCCATCATATTGGATCCGTTATCTTTGCAAATTACGGTAGCAGATTCGTAATCAGCAACCTCAAAAACCCCCGAGTAATGTTTTTCAGTGAGATTCGGAAAATTGTTTTATTTTGGTACGCCATCTTAAATTTACTTACTATTACAATGCATACAGCACAAACAAACTTTAAATATACTATACTTTTGATATTGTGCTCGTATATTTAAAAAACAAAACGATCAACTGATGATAACGTTTGATTCAACGGGCTTTGCCATTTTTGGAAATTTTACGTAAGGTAAAATAAATTTAAGAATGAAAATAAAAAACTAGCCTCGACAGACGTCTTGCAAATTATCTCACCTTGAAAATAAAAAAAATTATCGTTTAAAATTGTGATCTCTAGAAACTTTTGAACCAAAAAAGTGCTTTTTTACCCACTGTGCAATTTTGCATCGGGTCCACTCGTTAGTGTAAAGCCTTTTCCCGAAGAAGACTCCGTATTTTAGGACGTACACTCCTTACCAGTTAAGCCAACGCTTTCTGCCGAAGCATCGGTTCAAGGCTAATTAGCATCAGGAGCTACTCCTCACCGATAAGGCTATCCCTACTTGGCATCAGATCCACTGATTCCTACCTATAGCCCTAATACTGTTTCGCATTCACCCGAGTCCAAAAACCTGTGAAGCAAGGAAAATACCCTAGAATTACTCTAAAAGAAAATTCCACAGAAAATCTATCCTGAAAAACTTAGGGTTGTATCGGAATTTTTTCCCATGATAACAGTTTTTTAAAAAACTGCTCTCACCAGGAAACTAACCCACGACTCTTAGAACAGTGTTGTATCAGTAACTAGCATCCTTACCACTAAGGGTGCGTTCAGACGCAACGTCAATAGGAGTGTGCAATGCAATAAAAGCAATATTACCTAGAGAAGAGGGGGAAAAAGCATTGCCATTGCAGCCAAGAGCCATTGAACAGTGTGCCCTGGTCACATGGGGCGTCAATACTTTTCTGCAATCCATTTGAAAGCACGAGTGCGAAAGAGAGGGCGAGTGATCCGTCATCTTTCTCGCACCCGTACATTCAAATGGATTGCAGAATGCTATTGATACTCCATGTGAACAGAGCACACTGTGCAATTGCCGTTTGCAGAGGAAGTAATGGACGGCTGTCTGTTAAAAATGTGTCTTGCGCATATTTGTAGGTTATAATTAAGGTGGAGACAAATTAATTTGTTTGTAAAAAAAGTGGAAATATGACTTTAATGCCGAAAAAGTTTACAGGCATAGTAAGCTACGAAATTATTATTACTTGGTATAAAAGTCTTTCATCAAAATAGTAAATTATTGAAGTCATTGAAGTCATACTTCCACTTTTTTTTTACAAACGAATTAATTCGTCTCCACTTTAATTATAACCTACAAATATGTGCAAAACACATTTCAAACAGACAGCTGTCCATTACCTCCTCTGCAAACAATTGCACAGTGTGCCCTGTTCACATGAAGCATCAATAGCAATCTGCAATCCTATGAATGCACGGGTGCAAGAAAGATGACGGATCACTCGCCCTCTCTCTCGCACTCGTGCTTTCAAATGGATTGCAGAAAAGTATTGACGCTCCATGTGATCAGGGCACACTGTTCAATGGCTCTCGGCTGCAATGGCAATACTTTTTCCCCCTCTTCTCTAGGTAGTATAGCTTTTATTGCATTGCACACTTCTATTAACGTTGCGTCTGAACGCACCCAAAGCAAACACCGCTCTTTAATTTAAATTTTAATACAATGAAATGTAATAGCCATGCCCCATAATACAATTAGTAAAACTAACGTTCTAAATATTTTAACGTAATAGCCAATTAAGTTTCGTAAACTACATTTAAGGACGCTCGTTACAATTAGCGGTGGGGGGAAACTTGAGAGCAGTGAGAAGGAAGCAAACAGGTGATAGCACCAGCAACTTTTTTAAATAGAAGAATATACTCATATACATACACCTTAACAAAGTTTTTGTATTTTATTGCAAAAATAAACTGTCGATCCCACTGAAAATTAAATAAGTTTTATGGTATCGCGTCATGTAAAAGAAAAAATTAGATGAATTCTACAGACCATTATCTTATAAATTCCATTTGTATATGACTCCTCTATAATATGGAGTGTTGAATTTATGTTTTTTTTTAACGTATATAATTTCAAAAACGGTGTTGTAAGACGGTCTGAAATTTAACATCTGACTTTTTAACACCATAATGGACGTCCTCAGAAAATTTCAGGAAGATTGAACAGAAAACGCTACGTGTGATAAACGTTCTTAAAGTATTTTTACCGATATTGAACTTGTTTCACCGTTAAATTTCAAATTGTATTCATATTATGCAACATTTTGACTAGCTTTTGTTTAAAACACTGCCACTTAACGACGAATTAATTGAGGTAAATTACATCAAGTATTTTGATTGATTTACAACCTGCTTTACCGTTGAGATCAAAATCATCTATTATTGAGATCAACTTTTTTTTTTGGCCCCTCCACTCTCCCCAACAAGACCACTAAATTTTAAAGAGACCCCTCAGCCCACCTTTTGTTTTCATGTAATTATTAGTTGAATAACTTTTTGCACCCTCCTCTAAGTTCTCCTTACACTTTTTAGAAAACCCCCTCAGCCCCTCATAATTTTTAAACACATCGTCTTAGCAACACTCCAATATTTGTTCTAGTCCTCTTTGTTTTATGTATTTTCTTTAATTTAAAAGGAAAACCGGAAAAGAAAATTATTTAAGTGATATTCAATAGGTATGAGGATATCGAGCGGAGCATGCAGATGCGCGAAGCCCCCCCAGTATTTATATATATATATATATAAATATCATCACTTGACGTTCTTTTAACTGTTTTTAAGGCTTTTTTTCGGATCATGGATGCCTCGTTCCATATAATTAAATCCACTTGTTTTATTTTTTTTTTACAGATTCTACTTCCAAGAACGAACTTTCTTTATTGTACAAGTCTTATGGTTAACAAATGGTTCTGTGGTCATTGCTTTTAGAAGTAATATTAATGTTAT